CGCTCGCTTTAACATCACAGCAGCGGATAAGATATTTGGTATTTCTGACCTGAATTTTTGACCTTTCTGTCTATGATATCTTTGGTACACTGGCTTGTGGGGCAACATTGATCCTGCCTTTAGAAAAAGAAGGATTAAACCCGGATATCTGGCTTCGTTACGTACAGGAAGAAAAAGTAACGGTTTGGAATTCCGTACCTCAGCTTGTTAACCTGCTGATAGAAAGACAAGAAGATACGCCGGAAATGCAGCTGTCGAGTTTAAGAATGTACTGGATGAGTGGAGATTGGATTCCACTTGATCTGCCAGGCAGAATCAGGGCGCTGAATCCTGCTAGTGAAGTTATTAGTTTGGGTGGAGCGACAGAAGGTTCTATCTGGTCTGTTTATTTCCCGATAGGTGAGGTTGATACCTTCCTGGAAAGTATTCCTTATGGTTATCCGCTCGGAAATCAGGAAATGTATGTGCTGGATGCTAATCTTTCTCCTTGCCCGGTCAATGTGCCCGGAGATATTTATATCGGAGGAATTGGGGTAGCTCAAGGGTATCACAATGATCCGCAGAAAACTGCGGCTGGTTTTATGCGGCATCCGGGGCTGGGGAAACAGCTTTACCGGACTGGTGATATGGGCTGTCAGCATCCTGATGGTTTTATGATGTTCCTTGGCAGACAAGATGGGCAGGTAAAGATTAATGGATTCAGAGTAGAGCTGGGAGAAATAGAAACTGTTTTAAAATTGTCTCCACTGGTTAAGCAAGGTATTGTGCTGACTGTAGAAGATGATTGCCGTAATAAGCGGTTGGTAGCTTATGTAGTGGTTCATGAGGTCTTCGCTAAAGAAGAATTGCAAAAGCATCTGAGCGCTCATTTACCAGCTTACATGGTGCCTTCGGTTTTTGTGGAAATAGACCGGATCCCTTTGTCTTCTAATGGAAAAGTAGATAGAAAAGCTTTACCCGATCCAGCTATGAATGTTGTTGCCCAAATAGATTTTATAGCACCAGGTGATGCAATGGAAGTTGAACTGGCTGCGATCTGGTCAAAGTTATTGAAAACAGAGCGGGTTGGTATTCATGATAATTTCTTTGATGCAGGAGGAAACTCCTTAACCATGATCCAGCTGACACATAAAATTAATACGGCATTCGGAAAAGATATCCAGTTAATCCATCTGATGAAAAGCCCGACGATTGCGGAAATCAAGGTTCTGATCAATGCGTATGAAGATGCGCAGGATGCTGCTGTTTTAACTTTAAGAGAAGGATTAGCAGAAGAAGCAGCCTTCATTATTCCAGGGGCACTGGGTTCAACAGAAGGATATTTTGGCCTCGCTGGTCATTTGCCTGGAGAAGGTGCTGTATATGGTTTGCAGATGAAAGGAATTGCCGGAAATGAAATACCGAATACAAGTATCGAAGCCATGGCTGCGTATAACCTGGAACAGATCAAACAGACTGGTGTAATAGGTGGAATTACCTTATTAGCGCATAGTTATGGTGGTATTGTAATTTATGAAATGATCAAACAGGCGGAGGGTACTGGAGTAGAGATCGAGAAAGTTATTTTACTGGATTGTTTTGCAGATCCGCTTTCCTCTTTCTATACCGTACAGGAGGCCGATAAACTGGGTACTTATTTCAGGTCGTTGATTAAGTTCAGCCAGCCATGGCTGGACGAAAAGGCAGTAAACAATTTAGTTGGTCAGTTGCCTGCGGAGAACTACATGACCTTTATTTGTGAAATTGTCCATACGCTTCCTGCAAAAACTATAGGGAAAATGTGGGAGGTCTTCCGTGCAGCAATCTCAGCTGTCTACAGCATGGATGAGCAATTAAACCAGACGGTCAATTTCATACAAGCGGATAATTCAAAATTAGAAGGAGAAGACTGGGGGGATGCGGGTGCTGCAGCTGGCTGGGATAATTATTTCAGTGATGTACAGCTTATTTACTCGCAGGCCAATCACTTTACCATGGTGAATGCCCCTTATTGTACAGAATGGTTAACAAAAATGAACATGGAACAGAATATAAAACAAACTTTATAGCAGATATGAAAGTAGTTATGTTTCCCGGACAGGGATCGCAATACAAAGGAATGGGAAAGGCCTTTTTTGATACATTTAAACAGGAAACTATACGCGCATCTGACATATTGGGATACGATCTGGAAGAATTATGTATTAAAGATCCTGAGCGTCAGCTGGGGAAAACAGCCTTTACACAACCAGCGCTTTATGTAGTGAATGCGTTTACTTATTATGCAAGTCAGCCAAGGATCAAGCCTGATTATTTTATTGGCCATAGCCTGGGTGAGTACAATGCTTTACTGGCCGCAGAGGCATTTAGTTTTGAAACGGGGTTGAGGTTGGTTCAAAAAAGAGGCGCATTGATGGCTGCTGCATCAGGTGGTGGAATGGCTGCGGTATTGGGCCATAAAGTAGAAGCTGTACAGCAAATGTTAGACGAGGGCGGTTATAACGATATTGATATTGCCAATATCAATACGCCCACTCAGATTGTGATTGCTGGCCCGCAAGATGCGATCAACAGAATTGTCCAGGAATTTGAAGGCAGGAAGATTAAGATCTTTCCACTTTTTGTAAGTGCTCCTTTCCATTCCAGGTATATGAAACCGGCGGCAGTCGAGTTTGAAGAGTTTTTAAAGGGTTTTAGTTTTTCTGCGCTACAGACTCCCGTGATTGCCAATGTTACGGCAAAAGCTTATCAGGATAACCAGGTAACTGATTTACTGGCTAAACAGATTGAAAGTTCTGTGCAGTGGACAGATACGATCCGTACGCTGATGGGAAAAGGTGTGAAGGAGTATGAAGAGACTGGCAGCGTTATTCTGACTAAAATGGTCAATGAAATTAAGGAGAATTGTACGCCGATACTGGAGGAAAAGAGGGTTGTAGTGGAAAGAGAAGTTATGGTGGAAAAGGAAGTTATAGAGGAAAAGGTGGTTGCCGAAGAAAAAGGAGCAGTCGGAGAAAACTCCCATGCCAACGGTTCGTCTGTCAGAGTCAATGGCAGGCAGATCGGCAAAACCTGCTTATCCACCCGCCTGGGCAGTCAGGCGTTCCGTAAAGATTATGGACTGAAATACGCTTATGTTGCGGGGGCAATGTATAGAGGGATTGCTTCCCGTCAGCTTGTCGTTAAGTTGGCAAAAGCAGGGATGCTTGGTTTTCTGGGAACCGGGGGAATGTCATTAGCCGAAATGGAACAGAACATTATACAGATTCAGCAAGAGTTAACTCATGGGGAAGCTTATGGTGTTAATTTTTTGCATAACCTGAATGATCCGGCATTTGAAATGAAGGTTGCTGAACTTTTCCTCCGTTACGGCGTGACCAATATTGAGGCCTCTGCTTATATGCAAATGATGCCGGCATTGGTTTATTACAGGTTGAAAGGTTTAGCAAAAGGGGCTGATGGCGCAGTGATCTGCAAACATAAAATCATAGCTAAAGTATCCAGACCAGAAGTAGCGGAGGTTTTTATGCGGCCCGCACCAGAAAAGATGGTGAAACGTTTGTTAGAAGATGGGTTGATTAGTGTTGAGCAGGCTGAACTTTCCAGTTTAGTGCCCATGAGTTATGATATTTGTGTGGAAGCAGATTCTGGCGGGCATACAGACCGTGGAATTGCTATGGTCTTATTGCCTTCCATTCAACGTTTGAGAACAGATATCACAGCCGGGTACGCTTATGGCCAAACTATCCGTATCGGGCTGGCTGGTGGTATTGGTACGCCGCAAGCTGCAACCTGCGCTTATGTAATGGGAGCAGATTTCATACTTACAGGGTCTATTAATCAATGTACTGTAGAAGCAGGAACCAGTGATGCTGTAAAAGATCTTTTGCAGGACATTAATGTTCAGGATACGGATTATGCTCCAGCGGGTGATATGTTTGAGATTGGAGCAAAAGTACAAGTGTTGCGCAAAGGCGTATTGTTTGCAGCCAGAGCTAATAAACTTTATGCTTTATATAACCAGTATAATGGATTGGATGACATTCCTGAAAAGACCCTGATTCAGCTGGAGAAGACTTATTTTGGTAAAACAATAGCTGAAATATGGGACGAGGTGAGGGTTTACTGTAAGGCAATAGGTGCAGAAGCTGAAATTGTTAAGGCGGAACAGAATCCCAAAAATAAAATGGCTTTGGTATTCCGCTGGTATTTTGGCTATACGAATAAACTTGCATTTGAAGGAAACATAGAAAATAAAACTAATTTCCAAATACATACCGGTTCTGCACTGGGTGCATTTAATCAATGGGTAAAAGGTACCCAGCAGGAAAGCTGGAAAAAGCGTCATGTAGATGAAATAGGGATTAGTATTATGGTTGGCGCTGCGAAATTATTAGAGGATGCTGCTTTAATGGTGAACAACTAAATGATTGAACGTGGTTTAAAGCCTGTAGTATTATTGTTTTCCGGACAGGGAAGTCATTACAGGGGCATGGGCAGGGCGTTGTTTGAACAGCACCCGAAATTCAAAAGCAGTCTGGAAAAGATGGATGAAGTAGTACAACAGCAATTAAACCGCTCACTGATTGATGAACTTTATATAAAAAATGAAGAGCCTTTTGAAGAGCTGCTGATTACGCACCCGGCAATTGTTGCTGTTGAAATTGCTTTATATGAGGTGATTATAGCTATGGGGATCAAACCGGATTTTGTCTGGTAATAGTTTAGGGGAATTTGCTGCAGGTGTGGCTAGTGGGGTATGGGATGCCACTGCGGCTATAGAAGCTGCTATAGAACAGGCAAAATCAATATGCCGCAGTGATATTGAGGGTGGGATGCTGGCTGTGCTTACGGAAGAAGAAAAAATGAAAGATCTTTATCTGCAGCATGAGCTATTTCTTGCTTCAAATAATTTTAAGGGGCATTTTACTTTAACTGGCAGGGTGCGGGATTTAGGATTATTTGAGCAGGAATTGTCTAAACTGGGAATCAGCTTTTTTCGTTTGCCGGTAGCCACTCCATTTCATTCTCCTTTGCTACAGCAGGCAAGCGCAGGTTTTAGTCAATATACTGCTACTGCCACTGCTTTGAGGAACCCTGAACCTGGTTTTGTATCTGGTTTTACAGGAAAAGAAATGGAGGTATTACCTGGAGATTATTTCTGGGAGGTGGTGAGTCAGTATACTAATTTTCCGGAAGTAGTTAATTTTTTTGAAAGTAAGGGTTCTTGTTTATATATTGACATGGGGCCTTCAGGAACCAGTGCTGCTTTTGTGAAATATAATTTACATTTGGGCACTGAGTCTGAAATCTTTCAAATTATGAGTCCTTATCAAGGAGAAATGAACCAATTGAAGAAGTTACAGGCTATAATAGGGTAAATAAAGGAGCACATGGAAGTCAAACTTTTTCGGGTATCTAATGAACATATAAAAAACCAGTGTTATCTTATTTATGAAGGTAATTCGGGTATTTTGGTTGATCCTGCATGGGATTATGAATTGATCAATGATTTTTTGCAGGAGAATGAGATTACATTAAAGGGGGTACTTTTAACGCATTATCACCATGACCATACTAATCTTGCGGCTGCTTTTGCAGAAAAACACGTTGTTCCTGTATATATGTCTGCAATTGAAATCAGAGAATACGGCTTCACTGTTCAGCATCTGATTGCGGTACAGCATTTACAAGAGTTTGTGGTGGATGACTTTATGGTTACTGCTTTATTGACTCCCGGTCATACTAAAGGCAGTGTGTGTTACTGGATTGGCGGTCATTGTTTTACGGGGGATACTATTTTCATTGAGGGGGTAGGGATCAGCAGTGAGCTGAATGTCGGTTCTTTATTCAATTCTGTGCAATTTATAAAGCAATATTTGCCGGCACATACGCTGATCTGGCCAGGACATTCCTTTGGCCAGACCCCAGGCAAGGAACTTAACTTTTTGCTGAAGAATAATATTTATTTTCTGCTGAACAAGAAAGAGGCATTTATAGAATTCCGTATGCGTAAAAATCAACCTGATCCTTTTGCTTTTAAATAATATTTATGCCTATTACTGTTGAAAAGCTTGTTTTACAAAGAGCTAACGGACAATTTCCTGCTGCCATTGCTATTGTGAACCAGACGTTGAGTGAATTAAAAGACAATCGCTATTCGTTTTTGCATTCCAATGAACTGAATTACTTCGCTGGTTTAAAATTTGAACGGGCTCAGCATAGTTATTTGCTGGGAAGATTTGCTGCTAAAAGTGCCTGGAGTGCTTTTGCAGAAAATAATTTGATGACAGCAGTGGAGATCACTGCTGGTATATTCCAGCAGCCAGTGCTGTATTTGCCTGATGGGGGAAATCTGCAGCTTAGCATAGCGCATACGGAAAAAATAGGGATGGCTATAGTTTATCCGGAGAGCCATCCGATGGGAATAGATGTAGAACTTATTCATCCGGAGCAAAGTGAAACGATCAGAGAGGTTGTCGGTTTGGGAGAACAGCGCAAACTCCATTTAATCCATAGTGATGTACACCAAAGCCTTACGCTTTTATGGACCATCAAGGAAGCTTTATCGAAAGTACTAAAAACAGGTTTAATGACTCCTTTTGAGCTGTTTGAGGTGGAAAATATACAGCATCTGGAAGACATCGTGATTTGTGATTTCCTTAATTTTCCGCAATACAAATCCTTATCATGGTTGGCAGGTGGTTATGCCTGGTCTATTGTTTTACCACGCAAAAGTAGAATGGATCTGGCAGTAATCAGGAAGTTATATTTGCCAGACAGGACAGCTCAGGTATCCTGAATAAAGAAATTACCGATTTCAACTGGCTGCTGATACTTTTTGACAAAGTTTCTTACACTTGTAGGTAAATATAGATAACCAATTCCATCACTCCCTAACAAACCACTATGGATGGGGCTGATAGCTGAAATCAGTTTATCTTCC